ATAATGAAAAAGGAAAGAACTTAAACACAATAAGTTTATACTTATTAAGTATAAACAGATCCAGTGTACCACATTTTTCTCCACATTTTTCTGCACATCCAAAACGAACCAGCCAGAATACCAACATCTCCACTTTATCCCTTCATATTCTTATATTAAGGATTGGAGGCACTCACCAGCTATTTCCAGCCCTGTCATTTTGCAGGTGTCTAACTTCTTTGAAAGGGTTAAAAGGCAATTAGAAGGTAGTTAGCAAGGGGAGTGTACAGACTTAGTGTCCTCTAAAAAAATACTCCGTTTGGGGCTTGAGCAATTATGGAGAATTTCCCTACCTCCTGTTTTCCCCCACACACCTGGGACTGCTGTCTTGTAGTCTTTCCATGAGGAAAAGGAACAATCGTAATGAGAAAGAGCTTGGGTGATTGCACTACCTCTCTCTTTTGTCCAGAGAGGATTGTAGGAGCCGATGGGCTATCCGACTCCTTACTGAAGTCCGCAGACATTGGCTCCGCTATACACAGAATTGTCTTCAATCCGCCATCTTCTCCACGAAATCGATGATGATGATAATTCCTATGCCAAGGTTCTCCACACAATTTTATGAGCTTACCCCCACACCCCCATTTCCTTTTTCCAATGTAAGAGATCTTTCTTGTCCCCTTCAATATTTTATTTGGATTTTTTCCTACCTCTTCTTCAGCTTTTAATGCATTTTTGAGATGGAATGACAAAATTATAAGAATGATCCCTATCAGTCTCTGCAAGTTGCAGAGTTCTATAGCAAGTTCATAAAAAATATATTCATTATTTCCTGGCAGGACTTCCTCTAGCTTTGTGAACAATATTATCTAGTCAATTGCCTAAATAAAAAAATTAAATCCTAGTAACTACAAGGAAAAACATCAGTCAAAGATGTTTTTAATGTTTCATTTCTTTCAGTGGTGTGCAGTTTAAAAGAACTTCCTTCAAACTGGTATCCCTCCATATGTGTTGGAATCTAAGCCCGTGAATCCTAACCAACATTGCCCTACATTGGACAAGGCTAATTGAACAGGTAGTCTCCTTACCCCAGAAAGAATTGGAGTCAGATATTTTTAAGCTTGTAAAGATTATAGTCATGGCTAATATACACACTCGCCACTTTGTCATTTCTACAGTCAATGGTTATAAAGGGTTTTGATCCTGTGATTTGTACAATCAATCATTTTGATT